CTCGATCTTCCCTTGGATGTGGCAGCTGACTTGGAAAAGTTCCTCCTGTGCCATTCTGACCAAGACTGGATGACCCCAAAGCCATGGTGACCTTCTTCCCACCCCTTACGTGACCCAGAAGAGAGAGTGATGCTGCTCAGGGGTCTCCTCAGGCCTGAGAAACGCCGTGCTGGCTCCTCCACCGAGCTTCGGGAGCAGAGGAAGAGCAGGGCTGCTGCCCTGGCATGAGCGCACCCTTAGCCCTGGCACAAGGGCACCCAGAGCCCTCAAGGGGGCAGAAAGGACAGGCAGTGACACGGTGTGAAGCTGAGGAAGCTGGGCTGTGGCCCTCCTGCAGTCCTGCTGGCTGCCAGATCTCCTCCTTCAACAGGAACACTTTTCTCTCTCTCCCCTCAGAGGCTTTGACTCCAGGAGCTCGTTTTCAGACCCAATCCAAGCAGACACCACACCCTGCCCCCACCTCAGATCCCAAACTGCTTCAAGAGCCCCTGGCTTTGAACACTGACTGAAGGCAGAGTGCTCTGACTGCATCCCCACTGCCCCAGGGGGTGCTCGGGGCTTCAACCCACCTTGAGTTTAGATGATTAAAACTGGGAGAATGGTTCCTGCACTCTGGTGTATTGTTTACTCTGAGGAAGGCCTGGTTCTCTTCCCTCTCTAGTCTCACTGCCAGGTTCTTCCTTGGTGCCAGGGAGCTGCTCTCAGCAGTTTTTGACTGTTTAAAGCCTCTTGTTGGAAGCTTTTTTTCCCCCTCTTGCTCTTGAACTGTGGGATGTGTTAACACCTTGCTTTGAAGACAGATGTTGGCAGAATCATTCACCCCCCTCTTCCTCTCACTGTCCCCTCCCTTTCTACCCTGATAACTACATTCTTCCACTTGTGGGATAAAACAGTGGCTGCTTTGGGGTGGTTCTCAATGGATGGCAAACCTCTTCTATGTTTCCACAAGAGTGTTGAGTGTCTTCAGGTGATCCCACCCTCCCCAAAAGCTGTGCAGGTCCTCATGACCCTTCCATCAGCCACGTTGCTGCACCCCCTGGTACAATCTCACCTCCTTAATAGGTGTGGAGAAGAAAATGCTCCTTGCTTGTTCCTCCCACCACTCAGGACTGTTGCACCTTAGTGCCTCTGCAACCTCTTGTTTCTGCTGTGGCAGGAGTTTCTTCATGTACTGGTTTGTCCAGCTCCATGCAGCAAAGGGCTTGGACACCTTCCTTCCTCTCCCTCTCACCTCATTCCACTCCCTCTCCCACTCTGCCTGACTTCCAAACAGACAGCAGCATTTCAGGAGTGATTTCTAAGTGCAGCTGAGTTGGAGCATTTGCTGGGGGCTCACTGGAGCACCAGTGGTGAGAAATTAGCCCATTTTCACCCTCTTTAAGGAACAAAAAACCCTGGTTTTGCTTGGAGGAAACACTCCTGCTGACTTCCAGGGGGGTTGTGTGATTTCCACTGCCCCTGCCTAGCCCCTACCATGGTATGAGTGTGCTCACCTTGCCCATCTTGCCCTTCTCCCCTCCTGCAGATGCTCTGACAATCAACTGGCCCAATCCAGAAAACAAGTAGCCAAGAAAAGCACTTCCTTCCGTCCAGGCTCCGTGGGCTCCGGGCAGTCATCCCCTTCCTCACCCGTCCTCAGTGAGGCAGCTGCCCCCGTCCCCGGGAGGCCCCCTGCCACAGGGAGGGCTGGAGCAGCCCCTCAGCACCGGTAAGCAGCAGCTGGAATTTTGGGGGGGACAGATCCCCCGGGGTCTTGTTGGAATTTGGGGAGCTGGGGCCGACTCGGGGCTCGTTGGGTTGAGCTCGGGCTCGTTTGTGGTCCTGAGCGTTTGACTTCTCCCTCCCAGAGGACTCTGGGTTGTGGTTTGTTGTTGATTTGAGCTTGAGGGGGGTCTCTTATCAGTTCTCAGCAGCACTCAGCCCAGTGGGAGCTTGGCCAAAGCCTCTGGCCCTGCCCATTTTTGGAGGATTCCTCTTTGTACGAGCTTTCTACGGTCAGGGGAAGCTGCTGCTTGTGTAGATCTGTGGGTGGCTTTTAGGCACTGGTGGCTTTGTGGCAGTCAGGGCATGGCACAGAAGTTGTCAGTCCTGGTTCTGAGACCAGCCAGCTTGTTTCAGCTTCTCCTGATCTAATTTGGGGGTTTTTTTTGGTGTTCTCAGCTGCTGGTAACGCTCCCTTTAGGGCCTGCCCAGCCTTGCTCCCCAGGGACACTGGGGCTTTGTCTAACTGGAGTAAGCAGCAAAGCCCAAGGAGGTGTCTGGCAACTGGAGGGAGGGGATCCTGCCCCTCTGCCCCCTCTGGTGAGCCCCCCCTGCAGTGCTGGGGCAGCTCTGGAGGCCTCAGCACA